GATGGCGAGATGACAATTGTTCCAAAGGGAAAAACTGACTCGTCAAAGACTACATGTCAAGAGATATGATCCGATTTATGGTTATGTTGAGGAGTCGATAGCCACGGTGATCACTCGGATATCCAAGGAAGACGCACGCCATGGAACGAGGTGCAAGTTTATGCGGAGATGTAGGCAGAAGATTCGGATAGCAGAGTGATCCAAAAACTCAAAGATGAGAGTAGTTAACGCCTCGTCAGAAGAGCTTGGTGAAGGGAATAGTGAAGTGAATAGCTGCCGATGGGAGTATATTGAGAATATTAGCAGATGTATGAAGTGCCTCACACCAATAGGTTGGTGGCATAGAGATAACATTGTATTTTAACCACTTTTGTGGATCGTTTTGAAATACTTTTTCTATGTTTTTTATTTCTTTCAAGTGTTTTTATTATGTTTTCTAGTATTTTTAGTTTCAAAACTCTTTTCAGGAAACTTAGGAAAAAGCTTAACAAAATGGATAGAAGACCAAATTTCAGCTTAGATTCAAACCGTCAAAATTCACCCTCAAATGAAGACATTCTCACCGTCCGATCCAGCTCAAATATGGAGACTGTAAAGATGGAACTACCAGTTTTCCAGCACACTTTACAGAATGGCAATCCAACGGTTCAATCAAAAGTTACGCGAACAGCAAGATGTCTTGTAAACCAGCCGGCAAGCATTCCTACCCGCGGCCAACAACCATTTCACACCGGTCCCGACCTTCCCGACCGCGGAGAATGGTCTGTCCGACTCCGAAGCCCATTTTCAAGCTCAAAATGATTATCTCATTTAGAAAAATCCTAAGTGACGACTTGAACACTATAAATACATGTTTTTAGGAGTCCTAGACGAAGACACACATATGCAATTTCTCTTTTTGCAGCTTTTAAGTTTTTGTCTTTCATTTTCTTAGTTTTTAGATTTAGAGAGATAGAGATGTATCTCTTGAACCCTTTTTGTTTCTTCTTCAATATCGATTTCTACTCTGCTTTTCAATACAATGTTTTTGCTTTCTTTAATCATGTCTGAGTAGTTTTATTGTTGGGTTTAAGGGATTTTTGATGGAGGATATATATGTTCGATGAGGATTCTATTAGCTATTGAAGCCGAATCTTAGAACTTTTTCTTCTAAACTTATTTTTAATGCATGAGAGTAGCGTCATAGACTACAATCTGATCTAGGTCCTTGGTGTTGCGAAAGTTTTCATCCAGGGCCAGGTCTAGTTTGAGAAGAAAATATGAACAATAAGAGTGGAAACCTACCTATGGGCGAGATGTGCATGTTGATGAGTCTTAAACAAAACTACATTTTTTCTCTTCTAGGGCCAGAGTGGAAACCTACTGGTCAGGGTTGCGAGAAATAGTTGGTTATGATCACGACAGTGGCATATTCATACGTTCGTGACTTGAGTTCTAAAATTTTTAGCTAGGATCTTTTAATTTACTTTTTAGCAATGTTTTGAATCGTTCATCCCCCAGAAAAAATTTCCCTGAAAACCCAGCGCCTTTTTTCTATTGTTTTACATCGATTTTCATTCAATTTTTTAGTCTAGTATTTTACTTATTCAGCCGATTTTCATGCAAGCAATTAGGTCTACCCGTTTTTTCGTTTTTAGTCGATTTCATTAGATTACTTATTAGGTCATTTTAATTCTTGTATTTTTCCGTTAAGATTAGTTTTTACGTTTTAAAGACACCACTAAAACCCCTACAAAAATCGCCTGGTTCTAGACTTCCTTACTTCACATTTCTTTCGAAGGCTTTTGCAGAAAACAACTTCCTTCCTTGTGGATTCGATCCCTAATTACTATAATTGATCAGCTGTGCACTTACGACTTATTGATTTCATTTATGGTAAAACTTAACACCCTCACGCACGACCACATCACATAAAAGCTTGAGTGCGAAGAGTGCGAATCATATTGTTGATGGTGCGAAGCATACGTTCTGCCTTGTTGTTCTGCTGGGACGTATACAGACAAGAGAACCTGAAAAAAGTACCATGAGATGCCAAATAATCACGCGTGAGTTTATTTTTGTACTCCTTACCATTGTCACACTGGAGAGAAAGGATTTATGTGACAAAATGTGTGCGAATATATTCTGAGAAGTGGAGATAAACGCCAAATAGATCACTCTTCCGAGTCAAAGGATAAACCCATACGTATTGACTAAAATCATCAAGAAAAATAACATAATATTTTAGCCCACTAACATTAGAAATTGGAGATGTCCAAATATCAGAATGAACTATCTCAAAAGGTTTAAAAACATTCGATGAAGAAGAAAAAATGGTAATCTAACATGTTTTTCTAATTGACACACATGACACAAATCTGTCAAGTCGTGTTTAGAATGCCCAAATTAACCAGAAGAAGCAAGAGACGAGAGGGTAGATTTGGCTGGGTGACCAAGTCTTCGGTGCCAAAGAATGTTGGTGGATGCAGTGGTGAGTAAAACAGCATGTGACTGAGAAGATGGCACTGAAGAGACCGAGTACAAGGGGTCGAGATTATCGCATCTAAGAAGCTTAGCCTTGGTGATGAGATCTTTAACACAGAAACCAAACGGATCAAATTCAATAGAACAACCATTATCAGTTGCAAACCTTCGTACAGAAACCAAATTTTTGATCATGGACGGGCAAACGAGGACATTTCGCAGGTAAAGAGGTCGCTGTGGTATGGTGGATGGAATAATACCGTCAGCAGTACATGTGGTGCAAGCAAAAGACCCGTTTCCGATTGTTACAAGAGGAAGATTGTATTTATTAAAAAGAGAATATAGCGTACCTGTCTGTGAATTGACATGATCGGTGGCACCAATGTCCATGTACCACGCCGCATCAAAGGGATCGGACAAGCTCATGGTGTTGAATGCATGAGCCAGTTGCGATTGGGGCATCGTCTAGAGCCCGAGATGGATAATCCAAGAATACCAGCCGATGTTGGTGGAGGAGTAGCATGTGGTGCAGAGTAGGAGGCGATGTCGTACTGCGGAAGCGAGCGATATGTGAACTAAGGTGATATCATCCACATCAGATACGGATGAGGGTATGTTTGCAGCTGTTGCTGCTTCTGCAATTGTTGGAACCATGGAGGTTGCTGCCAAGACGTGTTGCTGCGACCTTTGCCACAGCCACGATTGTTGCGGCCACCATGGTTAGAGCTGGACTGCCCGCCACACTGAGAATTATTGTTGTTATAGTGCTGTTGATGGTGCGTCGGCTCAGAGGAGGGAGTTGAAGAGGACATAAGCACGTTTGGGGAAGAGGAGTTTTGTGGTGACCCTGGATCGACAAGACGATGCTTCTGCAAACGAGTTTCTTCCATGAGAAGCATGGAGCGGGCCTCAGAGAATTGAGGAAAAGGTGTCTTGTGAATGATGACATTGACAATGTTGTCAAACTTATCGGAAAATCCGTTGAGAAGATGCATCACCAGAGCATAATTGGAAACAAGGGACTCGATCTTGGAGAGGAGGTCAGAGATTGCTTTAATCTTCTGGCAATAATCATGAATGCCGAGATCACCGATGATCATCGTACGAAGGTCATTTTTGAGCTGGAGAGCACGACCTTCTTTGTTATCACGAAACAAGGCTTTGATGGAGACCCAAAGAACATGAGTGGAACACTTTTCTTGAGAACAGTTTCGAGAAGGGATTCAGAGATAATTATGTAGATCCACATCTTTACAAGACCATCACATTCTTTCTACTTTGTATCGTTGTCACTATTAGGTTTGAATTTCCCGTCGAGATGACCAGCAACACCGAAAGAGAGACAGTGAGTCTCGAAGAGTTCACACTAGAGATCATAGTTGAGCTTGTCCATGTTGAGAACGATGGGGACAGAGGCTCAAATCTGTGTGATGCCAAAAGGCTTGTCGTTAGAGGATGGGGGTTGAAGTTGATTCGGTTGTCATCGTAGAAGAAGAACACAAAGAGAAGAACGTAAGAGAGAGAAGAAAATAGAAGAGGTACAAAGAATAAGTAGAGTTTTCGTTAGGAAGAGTAAAGAGAACATAGGCTGGATTGAGACTAAAAAATCAAAGATTAGAGTTTTGATTTTAAGGTTTTGATAACATGTAAGATTGTAAATATCTGTAAAAAATTATGATATTAACATAAGCCTTATATAGGCATTACAAAAGTGCTCTACAAATAAGTATATTTTCTACAAATTTGATATTATCAACAATAAGAAAATATAATATTTCCTATATTTTCAAACATAGATCCCATCCTATACTAGTTTTAGAGGCTCGAAATATTTTTTACTGATCCTCCAAATCATCACAAGATCTGTTTTCATGTTTTGTTCTCAATCATATAGTACAGAAAATTATTTTTTGATAAGTCACCCTTTTTAAATGATTTTAACTTCAACATACTTAACTCATAAGTTTTTTTCTAGATAAATAACTAGAGTATAACTATATTTTTTGGTGACTTAAGCAGCTGAATCATTCTTTTAACTTCTATTCATGCACCCTATGATAAATAGTCGGGATATTATAACCAACTAATTATTAGTGAGTAAAATCATCTAGACTTTCAATATAATGTTGTAAAGCCTAGCGGTCTAAGGTATTTTATTTGATAGTTAGATATTCTTAGGTCCAAATGACATATATAGAGTAGTCTAATGCGGGATGATTTATTTGAATTAAAAAATGAAAATTAAATCATACTCTAATTTATATGTTTCTTGATACAGTAATAAGTGACATCCGGTTATATTTTACATTTCCTTTTTTCGTTTAATTAATAAACGTAAATATAAATAATCTTAATATTTTGGGTGGGGTTTACACTTTTGTAGAAAATATTGAATATTGAAGATAAAAGAAGTTGAAAGCTCCATATGATAGGCATATACTTCCTTTAGGCAGTCCATGAAGTTTCACTACTTTATAACTCTCTCTCTTTCCCTTCTTTCTCTACCTTCTACCATAGAACCCTTCATTAAACCCACTCTCTTCTTCTACTCTCTTTCACTCTTCACACTTGTTTAGATATTCTAAAGATTTTTTAAGCTTGATTTTGTAAGATAATGGACCAAAGCAATGCTCTTCTTACCTGGACTTACTTCTCTCACGTAAAGGTATACAATTTTCTTTCCCAACATTTTGTTTTCCTCTATTTCTGTAAACAGTAGTGTTGGTTGCTTTGATTTTTTTTTTTTCATTATTTTAATATTCTGCTTAGATCTACACATAATGTGTGTCCAAACACCATTTTTCTCTGTCTTCTTCTTCGCCTGTGTAGTAAAGAACTAATTTTGACTCGCTGATTTTGAAGTCAAATTTGCATACTCCTTGCATGGGTTTCGAATTACATAGATTTTCTTACTACATTTGCTCGAGAATTAGATACATTCATCATTTTCATAGCTTAATTTTACAAAATGGGTGTTCTTAACCAGAGGGGTTTTTCAAATCGGACAAAAATCCCAAATTTTAGCTTATGTTTTTTGAAAAAACCCAATTTTTTGATTAATTCTCGCATTTTTTCTGTCAATTAGATGGAAAAGACAAGATTTTGGGAGTAGTTGTTGTGTTTGCTCGCCTAATTCGTGACCAAAAACCCTAATTTTGTTATGATGCTCAAAATTTAGGGGTTTCTCTGTTCCTCTGTTTGATTTTCCAGTGTTCATTTGTTTTTCAGACAACGGAAGAGCTAAGACAGACACTTGTCTATACGGCAATGGAGCTAGAACAAACGAAGCTAGTGGCTCAAGAGGAACTAAGGAAGAGAGATGAACAGTTGATTCATCTTGAAGATGTTCTAACCAAAACCGTCAAAGAAAGAGACGAAGCGCTCGAGAAATGTCATAATCTTCTCTTCGACAATCTCTTGCTTCAACAGAAACAGAACCAGAATCATATCACTCCTCCTTTATCAGGAGCTTCAAGCATTGAAGACGAGCAACTTCAACCTCAGCAGCAGAAGAATCTTAACTCAAACAAGAGCTTCTCGTCTTCAGACACTGAAGAGAGCATCATGTCACCAACAGTGATTGATCCTGTGACGAATATGAACCAAGCATCTCATGTTGAGATAATGGCTACATTGTTGCTTGAAAAGCCATTGCCTGAAAAGGGAAATCTCTTACAAGCTGTTCTCAAGGCTGGTCCTTTGCTTCAGACACTACTTTTAGCCGGTCCTCTGCCTCAATGGCGCCACCCTCCGCCTCCACTCGAGACCTCTGAGATCCCTCCGGTCACCATCCCATCGCCGCAGTTTCAGAGTCCGATTGTTAACAATGGCTGTGGGAATTCAAACAAGAAAAGAGCATTCTCAATCTCAGATGGGTCTTTTTCAGAAACCAAGTATCAGAAAGTTTAACAAGAAATCAAGCACTGGTCTTTTATCCTCCTTACTCAACAAAGTTACTAATAGTGTTCTAATATACCATATACAGATCACTTGGGGTTCTAGTGAGAGTGATCTTTTTAGTCAGTTTTATGTAGATAAGAGCTTGATTTCCCTTTTTTTTTCCTCTGAATTTGTGGAGTGAATCTGATCCATTTAGGGTTTAGATCTAGAGTGTTAATGGGAATGAAACTCCCCTGGTTTACCAAGTGAGAGAGTTTTGCTATTTGCTTTTCTTTTTTTTTGCTTAATGATTTTTGTTTCCTAAACCCATTTTCACATCCATGTTTTGGCTCCATGAATGTAAAGTTATTGGGTTTTGTTTTTTTTTTTTTAATTTCTATTTGTAATATACAGAAATCTAAAGCTAGAAAGCTGAATGTGATGCATGTTTAAATGTTTAATTTTAAGAGGCTTATGTTTTGTGGGTGTTTTATTGTTTTTTTGAAACTTGAAGGTATATTCATTACAAAAAGTTTTGTTTAAGGTATTAAATGCAATATTCAATAATTTGTTGAAAGGGAGATGGGTGGGAAATGGGAACCGGAAAGTCGATGGGTAAGCCAACAACTAGTAAGGGATTTGATGTTTTATTATTTTGGGGTGTGGGTGGGTCCTGAAGATCTAAAACCGGATCTTTTGTCTATGTGCTAAAAAAAAGCTAGGGGTGGAAAAATTATCATATGGGCCTCTTTTACAATTTTTATTTTCAAGATTCTATGTGGAATCTCTGAAAATTCAGATATCTAGATTAATGAGACTCGATCTTGATTAAAACCATAATCAAATCTAGATTTAAAATCTAGATCCAATAAATATAATTATATAGTTGCAAGAAATTCAATTTTAGTTCGTCCATCCACTATAAACAAATCGATATGTTGAATACGGATTTCACCAATTTCGTAGATAGTCAAAATCAGTTTAAATTTAAAAGAATTTTTATCGATTTTACTGTTGTGTCTTGTGAAGGCTGCTTACACCTTTAAACAATGATTAAACTATTTGTAATTCACAGAGAATTATGTCGTCGAAAAGACAAGTTAACCAAAAAAAGAATAAAAATATGACCTAGGTATTCTATGAAAGTTGTCGATGCTCTATAAATATTGTTGAAGTTGACAAGTTGTTTGGCAATTTTCTTATTTCCTAGAGTCGATATGAACAATTTTTTTTTTAATGAGGATTTGCCTTTATCTTTGAAGATGTTCCTTTTTAATCTTGATTAGTAAATAATTCGATCTTAATTCAGGTCGGGTTACACCGAGGGTGCAGAACATATCACCGACAAAATCTCTTGCAAATGGTACAATGATCGAAACACTTGGTCAAAAACTAAACAATAAAAAACAATGAGTGAAATAGAGTTTTAGCAACAATGAATTGGAAAAGTTGGTACGCGGTATTTTATGTTCATGTTTGAGGGGTAATGGAAACAAAAGAAAAGAGGAACGTTTCTTGTAAAATATAAAAGACTGAGTATCTGAGACTGTTCTTTTTTTTTTTTTTTGAATGTGAAGAATTCGATCGTTAAAAAAGGAAATGAAGATGATCTGTGGCGTATCTAGAAAAAAAAATATTTATGTGGGGGCACATATTAAACATACGTAAAAATACTAAATGATACAGTATATCTTTAATTCTTAATTAGATGATAAACAAATTTTGTATAGAATACCTTATAAAGACTTGTATTAGTGTATTATTATGTGTACCAGGTCGAGAATCGAGCTACATGGATCTTGGATACTCGTCCACGACTACTTACTTTTGTTGTGTCTAAATGAAATTATTTGCGGTTTATTTTTCTTTGTTGGTTACGTTGATCTTGTCCACTTTCTTCATATGAAAGTTAGATGATTTAAATACGAGCTGAAGATGGACCCAATCTTTAAGGATGCCTTGTCCGAATTAAAGTGTTACAATTATAGCATCATATACCTAAAACTCAATATATATATATATATATATAATGTATATACATACATATATATTCTTCTGTATGCATTTTAATAATATATGTTCATGTACTGGTAATGATTTACTATGCTTAAGGGAAAAGTTAAGAGTGATCATATAAATAGATTGGATACTCTACTAATTGGTCTTTTCCTTAAAGCAAAAGACCAAAACTTGGTGTTGCTCAAAAATTATTTTAAGACTACTATAGTCTACAGTACATTTCTTTTTCAGACAAGAAAAAATTTGATTGTACGAGAAAATCTTGGTTTTCTTCTCTTTTGAAGCCCTACAATGTCATGATTATGCTCATTCGTTTTTTTTGTTTCTTTGGCAATAATCAGGGGAAAATAACATAAACAAAAATTATTAAAGGAAAAAAAACATTAACGGAAAAAGTTCAGCATTATCAAATTCGAAGCTACCATTATCAAATCGGTCAAATTCAGTCGGACCGGAATGATCCAAGACCGGTTTTAAGAACCTTAGCAAAAAAGTTCAGCATTGTGTCAACTAGTGTAGTTATTAAACTTGTTTAGAAAATTAATAAAAGTGGCTCTGTTTATCCCTATGTGTAATCAATAGCTTCACAGTTTCAAGTTCAACGAATACGATTCACATGAGAAAACGGCTCAGCAACGGGTTTTGGAGCAGATTTCTTGGCGGTGTCTGGTACTCCAAAAACATTCCAAAATCTCAGTGTCTCGTCTCCTGCTGCAGAGGCTACAGTACAACCATCTGGACTCTGAGCCATATACAGAACCCTCGATGTATGACCAGTGAGCTCCGCCATTTTCACCATTGACGGATACTTCCAAAGTGTAAGCTGGTTCTGAGTAAACCCATGAGAGCTAAGCAACTCTCTTTCATTCTTGCTCCATAACAAAGAAGAAACTTGGGAGCCAGTGTCTATCGAATTCAAGCAAGCTCCTGTCCGGTTATTCCAAAGCTTTATCGTCCTATCTCCTCCACCACCACCAGTCGCAAGCAAACTCGATTGGAAAGGGCACCAAGCAAGAGCTTTAACCGCAGCTGTGTGTTCCTCAAGCCTGTGCAGCCATTGCGTGGTGGAACAACGGTCCCATACGTGAACCACATTGTCGTTGCCACCGCTGGCTAAATGCTGTCCGGAGCCTGACCACTTCAACCCACAAACCTCTTGACTGTGACCCCTGTAGGTTCCCACGACGTGTGATCTGATCCGTACATCATTGTCAATGATCTGCCCGTCCAACCCTCCCGTTGTTAAGACATGATTGTTCCACGCCAATGATCCTACTCTCGAGTGGTGACCCTTCAATGTCCTCAGCTGCAGAAAAGTCCAATACAAAATGTTAAGACACGACAGGAAGTACAAACATCGCAAAATATTACATGGAGAAGAGGTTTTGAGATTACTTTACGGCTGGCTTCAGAATCCCATATCTGGACTTCAGAGTTGTTGAGCCCAACTGCAAGATTACGACCATCAAGTGCAAAGTTAACACTTGTGACAGGCCCCTTCTCTTCATCAATGGTCACAAGCTCAGAAGTAGAACCACTTGAAGCATCCCAGAGATATACAGTATGATCCAGAGCTATGGCTAAAACATTAGCACTTCCCCAGTCAAGCAAGTTGAGATAAAAGTCATCCACAAGGTCTGGTGCATCTAACGTTCTCTCGGAAGTCTGTAATTATAACATAAAAAAGGTTAAAAACAGAGCAATATAAAACTCCAAAGCAACAATTGTGGGATCTCTAGTTTCTGTTATGCAAGTACATACCTGAGGGATGTGTCTACGTTGCGGCTTTACGGATTTAGGTTGCTGGTGAAGAAGAGAAGCAGAGTACGGTTTGACTGGAACTTGAGGTTTGTTCCTAAATGCAAGAATCCGTGTCCGGTTCAGATTCATCGTCTCGGCGAGTTGCTTGTTGTAGGCTTCTCTGGATGGTGATGAACTTACCTGTTCTTTTCCTTCCACTTTTCTTCCTTCCATGAGCGCGAAGTGAGCATAGTCGAAATCCATGGCTGATCTGTTTGGTATGAACCTGTCAAGCTGGTGAAATACAATAAGCAGTCAGATCAAAATTCATTCTTGCAAGAAAACGATTCTTATGAGAGAAAGCATAAACCAAAAGAATCAACAATTCGTTTGTTCATGTCGAGGATTCTGAAGAAGTGAAGAAAACCCACAAAATCAAAACCCTAAATTCATAATCTAGGAGATGAATCAGGAATCGATTCTGAAGAATTTGATCGAAACCCAAAAATAGAAACCCTAGATTTTTAATCACAGAGAGAAATCGTATAATGGAAATCGATTCTGAAGGAATTTTGAACAAAACCCAAAAATCGAAACCCTAATTCGCAACGAGAAAAGCATACTACTTACGTTTTCTTTGGAATTGTTTCTGGGAAGGAAGTGTTGTTGAAGCGGGCAACGAGCTTGAGCCTTTAAGTGCGAAGAAGTGTTCATACCTGCATCCATCATTACACACAAAAAAAGAAAAAAAGAGAGAAAGCGAAAAGGCAGAACAAGATATCGAATTGATTTACAGAACGAAATTAGACAAAGAATTAATCAAACAAAGCCTGTAGAGAAAGAGAAAGAAGGGTTAGTTAATTCGAGTAGAGGGAGAAAGAGAGAGAGAGTTGATCGTTGTTGATGATGTGAGAGGGCGGCAGATTGAAATTGAGGGAAGACGAAAGACGTTTCGGGTTATTTATACGTTTCTCCAATGGGCCTTAAATGGGCACATCTAGTAAGCTGTAAAACTAAATCGGGCTGGTCCGTTTAGATATGCACGTCGGAAAATTTTGTTTTTGTTATTTTTTTTGTTAATTTTTTTTTTTAAATTTTGGTTGGTAGAAGAATGGAAAAAAATGTTCATTTCATTTGTCAGGTGTTTGTAATTGGCAGATTTATTTCTCAGATGTCGTGGTTACAGCTTAAATCTTCAAAACTGATTTGTCTGGACAAAATTGAGATATGCTACACACACTAGCTAGGGGTGGCCAATCCAAGTTTTGGATTGGGTTTCTTAATTTTTGGATTAGGTTTGGGTTATTTGGTTTGAGAATTATGTGACCAAATTTGATCTACATAAAATTTGGATTAAGTTTTTAAGTTTTAGATCAGGTTTATGTTATTTGGATCCTAATTAATTTGACCTAAAATAGACTTATATCTCATTTTATTTGGGTTATTTAGATTTTATGTTAGATTTCGTTATTGAGTATTTATAAAAAGAACAACATCTAAAATAAATACTTAACGCTAATTGCAATAAATAAAATAATTTATAAAATCAAGAAATAAAATAAAACCATTATTTTTGATATCGTAAAATATAATCTCGAGAAATGAAACAAAAACATTATTCTTTTATTGTAAAAGACTTGAAGTCCAACAAAAAAAAGCCAATATAATAGAAAAGGTTGAAGTCACGATGTTTATTAGGTTATATGTCAAATTAGTTATTTTTACATATATATTTAAATTTTATAGTAAATTACTAGTTTTATATTTTGGTAATTTTATATTTATGTTTAACTAGGTAGTAACCAACACCATGCGCAGGCGGAAATGTATTAAAAATGAGTTTTTTTATTTGTTTTGAAAGTGATGATCTCATACTCTAATTTTTTATAAATTTGAACAGTTAATATTGATGCATAAAGAGATCGTATTTAGCTGTTTAACTTAAACAGGTGAAAAAATAATACTGTGAATAATTTACATAATATTATCGAACGTTAAAATAAGAAACTTGTAACTGATCAAACTAAAAAAAAAAACAACAAAGGCAAAGAGAATACCGATCCAATATCCCAAGATCTCAAGATAGAATAATTGATGTGTTTTAAATTCGGTAAAAGATATAATGTCAGAAGATTTAACACAAAATATAATAGGTGATTACATCATTAAATTATTAACTTTGTTACAAATAAAAAACCAAACATAAATATAACAACAATGTTAGATATTCAACCAATAAAAAAAGATCTAACAACCATAATAAATATATTGTTCTATTTACTAAAATATTGTAACTACATAAGTTTTTTTTTTCTGTAATTCTTTTTACATCTCCCTCGCCAGAGTTCTCTCTTCATTTTCTCGTAAGTGTTTGTCATTCTAATCGGTTATTTCACATGTTTCCCTTCTTCTTCTTTAACGTATTTGATTTATGTTTCTTCTTCTACTTAATTGTCTTTGTTTTTGACTTATTCTTTATCATCTTTTTCTTTTCGAACAATTGTTCTTCTCCATTCTCTTTCGGTTTGTCATTGTCTTTCTCTTCTGATTATTCTTTTTCATCGTTTTCGTCTTCTCTGACTTATTATTTTTTCGGTTTTCTTCATCTTTATCTTCTTCTTTTTCTTCATCTTCTTTATATTCTTATTTTTCTTCTTCATGTTATTTTTCTTAATTTCTTAATCATCTTGGGCTTCTTGTTTTCATAATCTTTGTCTACTTCGATTTCTTCTTCTTCTTTTCTTTTGTTTTTTATCCGTCTTGTTTTTGTTCTTCTTCCTTCTTATAATTCATCACATTTTTTTTCTTTAATTTCTTTTTCTAAGTTTCTCTTAGCTTTCTTTCCCATCTTCACCTTCTCATACTTTGTCATCTTCAACTTCCGTTTTCCTTCCTTATCTTGAACATATATGTCCTCGTATTTTTCGAGTTTTTCTAAATCAGCTCTCTCTTCTTCTCCTCCTCTTTTTTGCTCTCATCTTCCTCGTTTCCTTCTTCATCTTCATCCTCTACAACTTTGACTTCTACTTCTTTATCGTCTTTTTCTTCTCCAACACCTGCTTCTTCTTTTACTTTTTTTTTTCTTCGTTTTATTTCTTTGAGTTTTTTTTTAATCTATCATTCTTACTTATCTCGTCTTTGTCTTCTTCCTCTTCTGCTTTGTCTTTCTTTTCTTCTGCTTAGTCTTCCTCGTTCCTTCTTCATCTTCATCCTCTGCGACTTTGACTTCTACTTCTTTATCGTCTTTGTCTTCTCCAACACCTGGTTCTTCTTTTAGTCTTGTTTTTTCTTTGTCTTATTTCTTTTGAGTTTTCTTTAATCTATCATTCTTACTTATCTTGTCTTTGTTTTCTTCCTCTTCTGCTTCCTCTTCTGATCTTCCTCATTGTATTTTTCTTCTTTTTTTTCTTATTTTCTTTGATTTATTTTTCATAATATTCATAATCTCAACTTCTTCTTTTTTCCACTTTCTTACTCTCCCTCTTCTTCCTCTTATTCTTCTACTACTTTGTTTTCTCATTTTTTATTTTTCTCTAACCTCTCAAGTGTCTGATTCTTTTTCTTCTTCTTCTTCAACTTCCCCATCTTGTTATCCTTATGCGTCTTCATTAGTTTGGGTTATCCACCTTTTTAATTTTCTTTTCGGAATTAATTGATATGACTTTATCTTTTTCTTTTTGACTTCTTCGTCGTCTATTCGTCTTCTTTTTTGCTTCTTCTTCTTTTATATCCTTCGACTTCTTCTGTAGTTTTTTTCTCTTATTTTGAATAGGATTTACAACTGATAGTTGTATTGATTTGTACAGAATCAATTTCCTTAAAGATAATATAATAATTCGTGTGCAATACAAAAAAAAGAGAATGTAAGATTTGTGGGCCAACATGTTTTTTTCATCGTTGTTTGCTCTGATTATGCTACTTCTAATGAGGTTTTGTAAGACTTTTTTCATTCAATAAAAATCAAATTCAGATGAAATACTTTTACAATACACAACTTTTCAAAAACAATATCTCATTGCTCTCATTGGAAATTAGACCATAATGTCCGTTTCACATGTATAATAATAATAATAAAATGATCAAAAGTTGCAATAAAGCTGTAGAAGTTCAGGAACAAGTTTTCCGTCATGTTTATTTCCTATTTTGTTCTCTTAGTTTACTTTCAACCATCTTGGCCATCACTTCATTATCCTTCTTCATATCAGTCACACATTTTTTTGACATCAAAAGAGCTTCATCATTTCAAGTATTATTTTCTTGTAGCTTACGTTCATAAAACCACTTATATATTTAAATTATCTAACTTTAAAAACCATTTACAGTTAATATATAAACGTATTATAGTATCTATCATATATAAATAAAATGGTATTTACATGTGTTACCTCCGATAAAAAAGTATTATACAAAAAAAAAAATCTTAAAATATTTTGCTTCCTTAATTTTTCTTTCTTCTTCAATATCTGTGATTTCGTCCAGCTTGTTTTTATAGTCTTCATTTCTTCCGACTCCGTTTCACTGTCTCCAATTTCTTCATTTACTTTCTTATCTTTCTTTATCATATTCGTCGTCTCGATATACTATTATTCAGGTTTTTCTTCGTCTTTTACTTTCTGCTTTGTCTAATTTAACTAATTTCTTTTTGCTGTTATCATGTATTATATTAAATTGATGAGAGCATTGTATTTTTTAAACCAAAAAAACTATTAAGACCGTTTTAGATTGATCGGTTGGATTGACTTTAAAAGCTATATTTTTAGTAAGATTAGTGAAAATGAATAAAAAAGCTATGACTTTTTAGGAAAAAGATTAATTAAACTGGTTTCACTTAATCTATTTAAGAATGATCTAATTTTTTGATCCAAAATCTCAAGCCTTGTATATATATATCAAGACTAATACAATAAAAAAAACTAAAGTAAAGCTCTAAAGATGGAGTTTTTTTTTTCTTTTTTTTGTATGTTTTTCTTAATACATATGAAAGGAGGAGAGTCGATCAAGTAGTGTCTCTGTTTTTGTTATACTCATCAGATACAATTCATCAAGTATATATTATTTTACTTTTAAACATCTGATAAGCAAATATCAAAACATAAACGTATTTCAGAGTCCTCGGTTAAAGGAATAATATCAACAGTTTGACACAAAAAGGATTATACTAATGTTTTGTAAATGTTAAGAACCAGAGAGATTCAGTAGTCAGTCACATTGTTGTCGCTTATAAGTTTGACAAATTTAAAATCACGGTCGGTGTTTACTTACACACACGCACATAATAGGTGTCACATAAAGCACCAGACACAAAATACAAAGAGACCAATTTTAGCTCATGATTTTAAAGCTAACATGAGCTCCAATCTAAATCAAAGAATGCTACTACTCTAACACTGTTTACATATACACATTTCCCGCATTTGTATATTTGAACTGGTAAACCGTAGTTATGGAACACCCTAATCCTACTGTTCCAAGTTGCTGTCATGATCACAAGCCCCCACAGGTGCGGCGTACAAGGGTTGACGTTCTCGCACACGTTCCTCAAGAGCCTCAGCTTAGACCTGATGCTGACTTTAGCTAAAATTGCTGCTGCACCTGCACCTGTTACTACGCCAAGCTTCTCTTCTGGCCACGTTGTTGCTCCTTTCATTGGAGAGAGACAGTCCATCCGTAACAGGAAATGAACAACTTTTTTTGCAGATCAGCAATGAAACTGCCCCCCTCTTTCCCCTTGCCTAGTCAAGGTATGGCAACAGACATAAGACCTGATCGTTTTTGGTTTCTGAGAAGAAACAGCCTTCTTATTTGGTTGAGAGTAGTCCCATACATGAATCACGGAGCCCTCTACTACTGACACAATGTGTTTCCAACAAAGAAGAGGTCGTCTCAGTGTTGTCCTAAGACTTTAAGCTGCAAAA